AAAAAAAAAAAAAAAAAAAAAAAAAAAAAAAAAAAAAAAAAAAAAAAAAAAAAAAAGAGAAAAAAAGAAGAGAAAAGGAGGGAGGGAGGGAGGGAGGGATTCAAAATTTTGAAGGAAGGGAATGTTTTAGAAAATATTATTTTCTAAATAATAGAAAATTGTGAGATTCCAAAGATTCTTTTTCAAAATGAGAATACCACTTAAATAGAAAAAAAGAGAGTAAGAGAGAAAGAGAAAGAGAAAAAATATTTTATAGAATTTAAGAAGTAAAATTTACTGTAAACCACCCAGAGTCACTCTGCAGTGAGATGGGCAGTGATAAATGTAAGTATAAATACATAAATATAAAAGCTACAAGCAAGAGATTACAAAGAATGGTATTTTATACCAACAGTATTGGTATAAAAGTACCACTAATTTATAAACTTTGATTTTAAGGATGAGTAACAGATGTTACAAGTTGCTTTCCTACAATTTAGTATCATCGACAATATAATATGGCCAATCTATATTCTTTTGTTTTGATCATTTAGAAGAATATTGCCAAGAATAATTCTAGATTCAAATGATTTTGCTATAGAATTTATTTAGATTTCATTAGTATTCATTTAGTATTGCCAGTTCACAGAGTTATTTAGAAAATCTCATTTCACTGACAGAATAATAAAAAATCAAACTACAGGTAGTCCTTGTTTAGCAACCACAACTGGGACCGGCAAGTCAGTCATTAAGCAAAGTGGTTGCTAAGTGAAACCATGACTGTACTTATGATCTTACTTCAGCTTTCCTTTGCTTTACAGACCTGCAAAGATTATAGATGCAAGGATTGGTCTCAAAGTTCCTGACAGTCACCGTCATAACTGAGAACGGTCGCTGTACAAGGCAGTCATTAAACAAGGACTACCTGTACTTTCTCAATAAGGCTCCATAAAACAAAAACATTCCAACTTGATCGAGTGAATGTAACAGCCAAAATGTAGTTGTATTTTCTTTCTCTCAAAGTAATAATGAAATATCCTCCAGTCACAAAGCTTTAAAGGCATATATGACATATTATAATGAGTGGCATACCTTGGTTATGAAGCCTGCTCCCAAACATTTTTGGGATGAATGAAATACCTAGCCAGAGCAAGTTCATATCCCCCATATTCATATTTTTTAGAAAAATAATAAATAACAGTTGCCACTTCTAACTGAAAATATGAACAAATAAGATGGTTCCAGAAATAATACCTTCCCATTATTTTCTTTCTACTCTTTTTGAATACTATTGTGTGACAGAGTTTAGTTGGAAACATATGAAGATAAAACAGGATTTCATTGGGACCACATTAAAAGGAAGAAAACTATGATCTCAGTTGCACTGGTATTACCAGAAAGTTAAAGCCTCACACACAACTTGCAATCCCAGTTGTGCAGGAGGGAAACAGGAATCAATAGAGGCAAATATGTGGGGCTCAGGGTTGAACTGTGGAGTCCTTGGGGGTCTCTGAGCTTGGTTCTTTTCTTGCAAATGTTTCATTACCCGGCTAGGTAACATCTTCAGTGCTAGCTCAGAGAACCCCAAGGACTCCACGGAAACAGGAATCTCAGTTACATGAAAATGACAGTAGTAAACAGATGGAATTAATAGTAGGCAGAGTTCTAGCTATCTTATGCTATGAGATGGAGAGGCTAATAAAAAAAGGTTTAGGGGATTATCTGCAAGCCAAGGACTGTCTACTTCTAAAAAAAAAAAAAAAAAAAGGTATCAGATTAACAGTAATAAGATAGAGCCAGTACTGGTTTAAAGTAGATAATACTGGAGATGATTAAGAAATAATCTGATCTTATACAAATCAGTTTTTTGTAACCTTGAATTGGTTAGATTTCTTCAAATTCTCTCTCCATATATATGAAATAACTATAAACATGGCAAGATACTATTTATTTTCCAGATATGTCTGGTTCCCTGCTACTCCATTATCATTACAATAGGGTCCCCCCATCGCAACTGCTCAACCTATCTTTTCCAGGTGGGGGAGAAGAGCCTAGAAATTTTGAGAAGAATTGAAATATGCACAATAAAGTGCCAGAAATGATGCCAGTAACACCAGTGGCAGAAGAGAAGTGAAACTGACCAAACATGGATATGTGCAAATGTTCAGGGCTACTCCATGGTGGTAAAGGAGGTGAAGCATACTTATTTACTGAGACCTTAATCAGCCAGTGGCCTACGAACTTCCTACTGAGAAGTTCTCAGTATCTCATGATCCCCCACTTTGCATTTGGCTGACAAAGTTGTTCAGATTTGCTGCAGCCTTAGCTTTGCAGGGGCAGTATCTCTCGTGGTGACTAGGGCACCCTTACCATATTATCTGGGATTCCTTTTGGCCTGTGACTTCTGAGGAAGTGGACAGGATACTGTCTCAGTTGTCCCCTGCTACTTGTTCCTTGGACCCCTGCCCATCCCAGTTTTTATAGACACTAGGTACAGTGGTGACCATCTGGATATAGGAAATTGTCAATACTTCTTTATGGGAGGGGAAACTACCTTGAAGGAACTACCCTGACAAGGCCATCCCTAGCAGTCTTGGACAGCTATTGCACAGTCTCCTATCTCACCTTTTTGGGGAAGATTGTTGAGATGGTAATAGACCAACCTCATGGCACCCTAGAAGAAGCAGATTATTTGGATCCTTTTCAGTCTGGATTCAGCCCTAGATATGGAATAGATCATTGGCTATTCTCTTGGATTATCTGTATTGGGATGTGGATGGGGATAGTGCACCCTTCCTGGTCCTGTTGGATCTCTCAGCGGCCTCTGACACCATTGAACTTGGTATCTTGTTGGGCCACCTGCAATTGGGGATAGGAGGCATTGTTTTGCAATGGTTCTGCTCCCTCCTCAGTGGGCAGTTTCAGTCTGCTATAGTAGGTGGAAGGAGAGGTTGGCCCAGTGGCTGCTAATGGGTGGAGTGCCACAGGACTCAATTCTCTCTCTCTTGTGTTTTAACATCTATAGTAAACTGATGGATGAGGTCATCTGACAATTGGGGATATGATATCAGTATGCTGGTGATGCCTAACTATACACTGCTATCCCATGCTACAAGAGAGATGCTGTTGATGTCCTTTCCCAGAGCTTGGAGGCTTTGAGGACTTGGATGAGAGACATAGAGTAAATTTGAATCCAAGTAAGGTAGAATTGCTGTTTGTACATTAGGGTTCTCTGTTGACACTAGTATTATCCCTTGACAGACAGGCACTACCTATGAAGGAGCAGCTTTGCGACTTGTGAGTCCTTCTGAGTTCACATCTCCTGCCTGAAGGCTGGTCATAGCCATGGCCAGAGGAGCCTATGTTCAGCTCTGGTTGATGTATCAGTTGCAGCCTTACTTGCTGCAGGAGAACCTGGCTATAGTAACCCATTCCCTCATTACCAACCAGTTAGACTACTGCAATGTACTTACATGGGGTTGCCCTAAAACTGCAACTGGTCCTGAAAATTTTTTTAACAAGGTTACCACTGTACATCACTTGTATGTGAATTTCATGAAACAGGAGAAATATGTTATATAAAAAGATGTAATGGAATAAAATAAATTAATGGATAACCCCATTCAGAAAGTCTTGCAGTTGTCACCTTGCAACTGCATTAAGACTAATGAAAGCAGAGCTTAAAAAAAACAGCCAATTCCTATCATTAACACCAACTTGATGGCACATAATCCACCAATCAATTCATGTCCATGCTGCACAGAGAGACCATGTTGGCTGTAATGGCACTCTTTAAAAAAAACAAACAAAAAAAAAACCATCCAAGGCATCATCATACATGTTTTGCTGCTAAACAAAATATTTCAATGCTTGAAATTATTTCTTCATATGCCAGAAGCATTTAAGTAATTTACTTGCTTTAAGATCCTTGAAGGTTAGTTGGCATCAGTTGCTCCAGTTCCTGACAATTTCAGACTGAGTCACTATGATATCCTATAATGCACTCTAGTTATGGCTTTTCTCAGAAACTTCAAGTGGTTCAAAATGCTACAGCAAGACTATTTTAGTATTTACCACATTTATTTTCAGATCTATATTCCTTGTTGCATCATACTTTTATCTAATATTCACTGCAAATAAATCAGGTCCTCAGCCCATCATTTGTATATGAAAGTACACGTACATTCATATCCCCAACCAACCAAAATACTTAACTGCTACCACAAACAAAGAGTTCTGTGTGGTGTAGCGGTTTGGGTGCTGGACTAGCAGCCGGAAGACTTAGGTTTTAATTCAGGCTCAATTGTCGAAGCTCACTAGTTAACTTTGAGT